TAGCCTTCAAAATGAATGTAAATGGAGTTAATTTTCGTCTTAATCAGTTTATAGCACAAAGTTCAACACATTAGTTGCCAGACAACGACAAGATTAATTATTAAATTGGAATTTGCATTAACCACTACACATATGCAGTAGACATATTATGACGTATGCTCGCCACCTGACAGATACAGACACTTGTTCAAAGATGTGAAACAAATTGAATCAATTATCTTATTTGTTTATTAGGTTTATTTACTTAACAGAATATTTTACAGGAATTACTGTTATATGTACGAATGTGCAGATGTACACAGATGTTCTGTGCCTTTCGTCACCTCTTCAACATGTACATTGACAACTTTCTTATAAACTGGAAATCGGTAGAGTCAAAAACTGAAATCAATAGACATACTCACGTAAATCCACCAGAATTGTAAAATACAAAAAAAAAATAGTACAAGAAACAGAAGATTGAACAAAGTTATGAATACCATAGTGACATCTTCTTCTAGTGCCCTCTCTACTAATGAAGGTTGGCTATTACCATTGCAAATTCGTCTCTAGACTCTAGATCTTCCGTAATCCAGACTCCTAAGTATTTCATTTTGTCCACTTGCCCAATATCTTCATTTTTCATCTGGATCCTTGTAATGATTTTGCCCCTCTTACTGATAACCATGGTTTTTGTTTTCTTTATGTTTATTGTTAAACCAAACTGTTCCCCAGTATTACAAATTATGTTTAGTAACGTCTGCAGCTCTGTCTCACTCTCAGCGATAATGACTGTATCGTCAGCATAACGGATGTTATTTATATTTTCACCATTTATCTTGATCCCTTCTGTACAATTGTCAAGTGCTTGCGTAAATAACTCTTCGGAATATATATTAAATAGTAAGGGTGATACTACACAGCCCTGTCTCATTCCTATACTTATCTGTTGTGCATCCGTGCTATCTCCATCTAATGTTACCACAGCCTGGTGGTTCCAATACAGATTTCTTACTATGTTAATGTCATTTTTTTTTCGAGTCCTTTTCTCTATAGAAATTCCATGAGAATGTTATGTTTAACTTCGGTTCTTCTCCTGATGTCTTCGTTGGTTATTCTGTCTCGCAGAGTAATTCCTAACATAGACCGCTCCATTTTTCTCTGCGTGACTCTCAGTTTGGTAGCTGCGGCTTTTGTTAGTAGGGTAAGTGTTTCTGCTCTGTACGTCAAGACTGGGAGGACGAATTTGCATTAACCACTACACATATGCAGTAGACATATTATGACGTATGCTCGCTACCTGACAGATACAGACACTTGTTCAAAGATGTGAAACAAATTGAATGAATTATCTTATTTGTGTATTAGGTTTATTTAATTAACATAATATTTTACAGGAATTACTGTTATATGTACGAATGTGCATATGTACACAGATGTCCTGTGCCTTTCGTCACCTCTTCAACATGTACATTGACAACTTTCTTATAAACTGGAAATCGGTAGCGTACCATAGTATACACTCAATCGACATACTCACGTAAATCCACCAGAATTGTAAAATAAAAAAAAAATAGTAGAAGAAACAGAAGATTGAACTAAGTTATGAATACCATAGTGACATCTTCTTCTAGTGCCATCTCTACTAAAGGTTGGCTATTACCACTGCAAATTCGTCTCTAGACTCAGATCTTTCGTAATCCAGACTCCTAAGTATTTCATTTTATCCACTTTCCTAATATCTTCATTTTTTATCTGGATCCTTGTAATGACTTTGCCCCTCTTACTGATAACCATGGTTTTTGTTTTCTTTATGTTTATTGTTAAACCAAACTGTTCCCCAGTATCACAAATTGTGTTTAGTAACGTATGCAGGTCTGTCTCACTCTCAGCGATAATGACTGTATCGTCAGCATAACGGATGTTATTTATATTTTCACCATTTATCTTGATCCCTTCTGTACAATTTTCAAGTGCTTGCGTAAATAACTCTTCGGAATATATATTAAATAGTAATGGTGATACTACACAGCCCTGTCTCATTCCTCTACTTATCTGTTGTGCATCCGTGCTATCTCCATCTAATGTTACCACAGCCTGTTGGTTCCAATAGAGATTTCTCACTATGTTAATGTCATTTTTTTTTTCGAGTCCTTTTCTCTTTAGAAATTCCATGAGAATGTTATGTTTAACTTTGTCGAAAGTTTTCTCATAGTCTATAAAAGCAGCGAAAAGATCTTTTTGTTGGTCTCAACATTTTTGGGCAAGAGTTGTGAAATTATACAGAGCTTCCACTGTTCCGAAGCCGTTACGAAAGAGAAACTGTCTATTACCCATATCCGCTTCGCACTTTCTGAATATTCTTGCATGTATAATCTTTAAAAATGTTTTTAATAAGTGTGACATTAAGCTGATTAATCTACAGTCATTACAGTGTTTGGGGTTCTTGGTTTTTGCAGCCATTCTGTAGGTATCTCACCAGATTTGTATATGTTGTTAAAGAGCATAGTTATTGCACTTAAATTGTCTTTATCTATAAGCTTCCTCGTTATCAATTTATGTTGGTTCCGTCATTGTGTCCATGAAAAGATTATTATATTATTTAGTCCATACTTGTTTTATTTCAATTGGGTTCTTAATAGGTTTATTGTTTTTGTCAATCGGTTAGGTGTATTTGTTCGTGATTTTTCAGAAAATTCTTTCAGTTTGTTATGTAAATTTACAATGATCATGCTTTTTCTGCAATTCTTCCACTTCGATGCATGTTTCTATCATTAACTTTTCCTTAGCCTCTTTTATTTAGTTCCTTATTAATTTATGTTTTCTCTGTACTTATTTGAGTTTTTGTTTCTATATTTTCTTCTTTGTTCCATGATATCCAGCATTTCTTGAGTCATCCAGGGTTTTCGGCTTTCTGTTTTCTTTTGTAGAGTTTCTTTTTGTGTTTTTATAACAGAGTCTTTGATTTTGCTCCACATAATGTTCACAATCTCAGTGTTTTTCATTTCTGATGTTAAATTCGTCATTTTTTGATTGATACGAGATGAAGCCTCAGCACGGATTTCATTTATCTTGAGTAACTGAGTATTCACCTTAGAAATTTTGGATTTTATTATCTTTTTTACCCTCAGTTTCATTTTTGAGACAAGGAGGTTATGGTCTGAGGGGACATCTGCTACAGGAAAAGTCTTAACGCTTACAATGGAATTTCTAAATCTTAGATTCGTTAGAATATAATATATATATAGTGAATATAGTGACATAGACGATAATATTCATATACAAGGGTTGTATTTTAGTTTTGCATATAGCCATAAAGAGAAAAAGTATATAGACTTAAAGTTCTTTATTGCGTATAAAACATTAATTCCAATCACGAAAACTCTATTAATAGGAGATCATCGAAGACAACGTTTTTTACACTTCTCTTGTGAACATTTTAATTGGGGTGTTAAAGAATGGAGTACGGTGCTATTCACGGATGAATAAAGATTTAACAGATACTCATAAGATGGGCGGCATAGGATTTGGAGAAGAGCTGGTGAACGTTACCATCGATGCTGTTTTATTCCAAGAGTACAATTTGGTAGAGATGGTATATTGGTGTGGTCAAACATTTCCCTCCTAGAGGCTCATTTAGAACTTGTTACAATTCGAGGGGGCAATTTAAATACTGAGAGATATATTGAATAATGTTTGGAAGATCATAAAAAACCATTTGCCTCATTTGTTGAAGAAAACTTTCGTCACATAACAAGAATAACACGGGATTACTTGGATGAAATTGGGATTCCTTTATTACCATGCCCCCCACCAGGGAATTCAGACTTAAATCCAATAGAGCATGCATGGAATATTCCGGGACGACTTGTTCGACGTAACTGTGTTTGAAATCATTAATGACTTGGAGCAAGCAGTTCGTGACGAATGGGAGCAAATCCCTCAGGAAGAATTTGCTGCCTTAATCCGTATTATGCCTGATCGAATGGGAGTCGTAATTAGCACTAGTGGAGGTAATACACCCTACTTAATATCGTTTTTCATTAAAACATGTTTAACAAAAATGAATTTTTTTTCTGTGCAAATTTTCAAAATTTTTGAATTTTTTATTCTTTTGTTTCGTAAATTTTTAATTTTTAATAAATTATTCTTTTAAATTTTATTTATTATTATAACTCTTAATTGGGAACACCTTAAACTTGTTTAATCGCCAGTTTTTACGAAAAATCTGGGTGTTCGGTTAATTTTGCACTCCAGTGTAGTATGAACCATTGTATTATAACAGAATTGTGAGAAAATACTGTTTTATCCTCGTACAATCCTAGTAAAAAAAACTGTGCTAATGCAGCAAACGGCCCGCAAATTTTTATAGTTACAGATTTCCAATCATAAATTAATTCTTTGCCCATCGAGAAAAGAAATAATTTATGTGTTATTTCAGTTCGATGATGAATATTCGTTACGATTTAGCGTATTTATGCCGAATTTTATTTTATTTATAACAATTTATATCATAATTTTCGAAAATGTATTTCTTTTGCGGTATTTCTTAAGACATACTTGGTTTCAGTTGTAGTGTATGGATGTGGTTTGCCCTCAATCTTCTGGTGTATTAATGAGATTAAGTTTCAACCGATATTTCTATAAATTTGAGGTTTCAGCTTTACCACAACGCGTAAAGTTTCGATAAAAATATATTTCAGAGAAAATAAAAACAAAAAGTCAATTTTCAGTATTAGAAAACGTGGAATTAATATAGAAGCGTAAACACCTTCTCATTTTTCGGTATCTCAGAACTCAGACTTCCGAACTTTGACAGTTGCAGTAGCAGCTATCTGTCAAATTGGCTGTCATTTATTTAATCAGGTTTGAAAAAATCATCATGGATGGATATAAAATTGTTTTATCAAAATGTGCATATATATATATATATATATATATATATATATATATATATATATATATATATATATATATATATAGATAAATGAGAATAGAATAATTATATTATCATCACTCACCGGTGACTAAGAAGTGCCACATGAACTGTACGAAGGTTCCCGCCCAAGAAATATTATTTTTGGTTTTCAGCGCCACCCTCAGAAGTCTTTGGTAAGATGCCATTGCCCAAGCCATGCTCACAAAGGAACTGCCTATAGACAACAGTTGATGGATAACTGAAAAAGAATAAACGCATTTTTACTTTATATTATTAAAAAATTAAGTCAAAAGTTGTCAGTTAAATAATAAACAGTGTTACAAAAGATCATTGTATTTACTAGAGATATGGAAGTAAATAAGCCTTAAAATCTTAGTATTTATGTACAAAAACATGGATGTTCAACAATGCAGATACTACAGGACCAAAGTAAAGTTGCATGTTCCTAGAAAGTGTAAGAAAAGAAGAAGAAAGACTTGATAGGAGACACTTAGAAATAACATATCTGTGAAACGGATTGATAATGGATTGAATTAGAACAAAAAATGGAATAATGGCGACCGGTCCTTGAAGAAAAGGGTGTAAAACTTAGTGGGACAAAAACAAAATGTCTAGAATGCTCTTTTGAAAATTGAATTACTTTTACAAATACGATGTTAAGATTTGATAGTGAAAAGTGATAGTTTTGAATAGTTAGGATTATCGTTTCCAAGTAATAGAAAGGGAAATGGAGATAAATGCAATAAGTTAGTGCGGGATGGACAAAATTGAATGTTGTTGTGATGTTGTACTGAACTCCTATCCTTTTTAATTTTTCTGTTAATATATTTTTTACATATGGCATATAGAAGACAATGACAAGCACAATATTGTCATCTTTAAATCCCTTCTCCCCGACCCCCCGAACACTCCACATCTCCACGTTATCCGAGTGTCTCGGTATCCGAGGTATGTACGGTCCCCCATTAGCTCGGATAATCGCGAGTATACTGTAAACTTGTTGTAAAAAAGTTATAAATTGGAAATTGCCCAATTTTGTATTAATAAATTAATTAAGAGTTAATTTATACATAAGATAATAATACGAGTTGTTAAAATGTAGAAAAAATGCCGAGAGAGCTAATACAGTATAAATCACCTACTACATTATATAAAAAGACTGTATTTTTCACCTGCAAGGGCAAAGATTATCGAGTACTTAAAAAAATAATTGGTCAAAATTAACATGTTTAAAAAATTATTTAACTAACTAGTCTAAAGTACATAAGTAGAACTGTTTTTGTTGTTAGCATAATTAACTAAAAAATTAATGATATTTAAAAAACTTAATGTGTTCAAAGATAAATAACCAATAGGACCAACATTTTGTAAACAATATTTTCTACATGAAGCACGAGACAAAATAAACATTTATTTACTACTGCACTCCCCAATCCTGATTTGTAACACCATATTGTCCAGGGGATGCATGACACAGGACGAAAAGTATTACCTAAACGATGACCCAAGGAGTCTCGGGTGCACGTAAACTTATCAAAAAATAGCATAAATGCACTCGAAGATAGTACAAACTCATCACCGCAATAAAACCAGGAATTTCAAAATAGATCGGAAGAGATTTGCAAACTCATCACTGCTCTACCTACACCCCGCAGCAGGTAAAGACCATAAAATGCTTGCAAACTGCTACGGTTTGATAATTGAAAAGAATAATCCAAGTCCGGATATATTAAATACAAATTCAATGCAATGCATTGGCTGATATTTGGGAATTTCACTAAATTCTATTGGTAGATAAATAAAACTCTGCAAAAACAAAAATCTCTCTTCATTTCCCTTTTTTTCTTCAATATGGATAGTGAATTGCTCATTGATTACCTCTAATACGTCTAATAGGCTACTCACTGTGAGGCACCCAATATAAATAAATATATCGGTTCAATTTTAAAGTAATTTGCTTAAAATCATTTCTGAATTTAATAGATTACCGCGTAATCTATTAAATCTGATCTGAGATGATCGGTTTACGGGTCTCCAAAGGATGCAGGTGACCAATTTGCTATATCTCGCAGCGTCTAATAATTGTATGGGGGGCTATAAAGTGATGAGTGGGGGGATATAAAGTCTTGACGAACTCTGTGATTACAGCCTTGGCATGGTATGAGCGCACTATCTTGTCTGACTACGTTTCGGCAATACTCATGAAACGAGACAAAAAGTGAGTGAAATTGAAGTGATCTCAGCATTAATCACCGACGCTATATTTATAATGAGGCAAGTGCAAGAGAAATCATTAGAATACAACAAACCGGTATATCTATGTTTCCTGGACCTTACAAAGGCATTTGACCGTGTAAAATTAAAAGATGTTATCCACTTACTGTACGCAAGAGAAATACCTCTAGGAATAATCAAAATGATCGGAAATATCTACCAAAACAAAAATGGGATAAGACAAGGAGATTCCCTGAGTCATCTATTGTTTAACCTGATTATAGACGAAATAATAAAAAAAGTTAGAACTAAAAAAGGATACTGAATGGGAAAAACACAACTTAAAATAATCTGCTATGCAGACGACGCAATAGTGAAGATGATTTACAACGTATGCTGCACCAATTTAATATAACCGCCAAAAAATTTAACATGTTAATTTTCTCAAAAAAGACAAAATGCATGGTTACAACAGCAAAGTTACGTAAGTAACTAAGTAAGTTAAGTAAGTAAGTAAGTTAAGTAAGATGTAAATTGGAACTGGAAGGTCAGATAATAGAACAAGTGATGGAGTTAAATATCTAGGCATCACATTTCCTAGCTACGTAAAGCTCAAAACCGAAGTGAAAGATCAAGTGAATATAGCAAACAGAGCTGTCTAAATGAAACAACATGGAGAAATAAAAATATCGAGAAAGAAACGAAAGGCAGAATTTTCAAAACAGTCATCAGACCAATAATGACATACTCGGCAGAAACAAGACCTGACAGAGAGGACAAAAAGGATGTTAGCAACAGCAGAGACGAAAACACAGAAAAATTGATTGGTAAGACACTATGGGACTGAACTACACAGATGCAAGTTGGAGAACATCAAAAACTGGGTAAGAAATAGAAAAGTAGAATGGAACGATCATATAAGCCGAATGACAACAAATAGAGTAGTAAAGACGGCAAGAGACAGTTAATCAATAGGAAAACGATCAGTAGGAAGACCACAAAAACGATGGAACGACAACTTACTGGAGGCACACTGAAAAACAGACAGAGTCATGTTATCTAAAAAGAAGAAGACTTACAATATCCACAAGGAGTTGTTTCTTGTAGTGTCCCTTGAGAGTTTTAATAACAGTACATTAAGTACATTGTCTCGATATATCCCCCGGCAGTTTCGATTTTTAATTCGTCTAAATCAGGACGTCCTTGAGCATTGTCTAACAAGAGCTTTCACTGTCAGTTACTTAGCTCCTTAGTTTTTTCTTAGCTCCTCTTTAACTTATGGAACAAAGCTGTTCTTGTACCAATCCAGAAAAACTTCTTTGGTCACCCAGGAATGGCTTTGCCACATGTACGTAATTGGCAGCTTCTCAATTTTAACATTTTTGAAGGCACGAGGTTTTTTGGGCTTACCCACGATTGGTAATTTCATTTTGTGGGATCCTGATGCATTCGCGCATACCATGAGAGTGAGACGTTCTTTCTGAAGTTTTCTGTCAAAAACTTTTTTTTCGTCTGAAGTTACAAATGTTTATATTGGAAGCTGCCGCCAGTTTAAACAGCGTCATAAAGTTGTTCAGGAATTCTTCACTAACATGAAAATCAATAAATTCTTTTTTAATTCCTGATAAAAAAAAAACTAAGCTTTATTTTTTAAAATGTCACCTGAGATAGGAGCTTGTCTGCTTCGATGTTGCTTAAACCAGAAGTGCAGAGCTTCTTCAACATCAGGAAATTCACTCATTTTAAAGGTTTTTCTGTTCTTAGAATCATTCTCTAAAGATTTCATAAATTTTTCGATTTTGTCTTTGTTTTTCATAATGTTGTACATTGTAACTCGTCCTATATCATAGAATCTAGATATCGCAGTCGAGGTTGCAACATACTCGCATCTCTTAATAATATCCCATTGAGCTTGTGCTCGCCATTGAACTGAACTATCTAAACGAATTAAATAAAAGAAGATATTGAAAAGAAGAATTGAGAATAATGGATATATTATAAAAAAATAGATTTTTTCCAAAATTTATAATTGAACACTGACATAATGATCACTTTTTGAACATGATTTTATCATTACATATTTTTTAGTAGATCAATACAGTGTTACAGTAAATCAGTAAGTTGAAGTTGAAATCAGTAGATCTACTGAAAAATCAATATACCCTGCGAGAGGTAGTAATGGGCAACGTACAGGCACCAAAACATGGCGGTCACATCGAAACTGGCCTCACTTTTCGAAGGTTTATTAAATGAGAGTTACCTGTCCTCTCTCTTCCCTTGTCTAAGGGCACTACGTATTACTGTATCTAAAAACCCTATCGAACGAAATTGCTCACGGAAAACGAAAATACACGAAATGAAGCAACCGGTAAGAATCAGATTCATGTCGCGACAGGTTTTAGTACAAGCAGACGTGGCGGCGACCGTGACGGGAACTGCGTTGGACTACCGAGCGTGTAGAATTGCAAAACGTCTGAGTATCAAGGGTGTATTGTATTTGTGATCCATCTGCGTATCTGTATTTGCTATTTTTGGTTTCCATAGTATCTTGGACCCATACAATAGGTACATAAGACATGTATCAATTTCTATATTTTTCAGAACATTCTTCAATATCCTATACCTAGCTATAAGTATTTCGGAAATATGTGTCTTCAGGTGTAGTAAAAATTAATATTAAATAAAGAAAATTATTTGATTGCGGAAATTCAGGATATGAGTTATTCTTCGGCAAAATCGCCAGTGTTATTCGTTTTCTCAGCTAAGTCAAGTGGTGTAGTTTTTTATACAATATTTTTGACATATCCCAATAAGATCAAATAATATAATATCACTGTGGAATTGTCAGCGAGGTCAAACGAGCTTTTTATCTGCAATCTACAATGGTAAGTATGATATGCATAATATACATCGAACAAGATTTTAGTATCAGAATATAGTCCACTATTTGCCTTTCCTGAATGCTTGTAGTGCCGAGCACCCACGGAGTGGGCGTCTTGATTAAATGAACTAATGAAAAAAAAC